AACCTTCCATCGTGGGGGTCATTTACGTTGACATGTTATAATTGGCTATTCACACTTCGGCGAGCTAAGGAATTCAGTTCGAACATGCGTTTTTCTTTAAACCTCGCATGCCTTTCAATATTCTAACAAATTTATTTTGGAGGCTATAGTTAAAATAATGATGCTTAGTTTGACTTTAAAAAAATTCGAAAAAATTATCCCTTGAAGGTCTACCGTATCCTTATAACGGTTAACGGGCCTTTTGATAATTGCAGGAGCCCATGTTGATGGGCTCCTGATAATTGTTGATCTGCCGCGGGGTCCCTTTCCCTGAAGGAATGCGGAGCAGTTTCGTAATAATCAAGTTTATAACGCTGACATGTGAGGTGTGAAACTAAAATTGCTTCAATAAGCATAAGTCTCGTTCAATAGCACAAATTTTAATCAGATCTTGTCAGTCAAAAACTTACTTAATTTTATTCTTGACTTGGTAAAACAGGAACTTCAGTAAGCGGTTCAAAAACTTACTAAATAAATTCAACAAAGAAGCGAAGAATAAGTGATATCGGCAACTGCGGTAGTCGACACTCCTTCGATAGCAAGCATCGATGACATGTCGATTGATTGTATTGTGATCTGAGTCGCAAAGTAGAAGATGCTAAATTGAATTATCTGCTAGTTTTGAATGGAGTTATTTGTTTGACACTCAGCACTGTACGTACCCCAGTAGGTGTCCTTGAAATTCAAATTTACAGAGACAACTGGATGACGTACAAATAGACTTAGCTATATCAACGTACATACTACGCATCTAGAATAACGGTCGTAAAGTTGACAAACAGTATGTGGGGCAAGACAAGCAGTTTTAGCTTCAAAACACAAGAATGGCACAACTTTCAATTGTGTTTGTCCGCTTTGTGACAGAAAGTTGACCAAAGTGAGTTCCGCTAAACTACGCAGGTTGCCCCGCGGTTCGCTTATTCAAGTTTTCTGTCCAGATTGTCGAGCAAAAATTACGTGTTTTAAAGTTCGGCTACCTCAAACGCTTAAGGCTTCCAATAATGCTTCTAAGCCGGTAAGCCAGGAGTGCAATCAAGCACGAGATGGTAACCGCACGGCGTTTGAAGCAAGCCGTATTCGTCTGCTTCGAACATAAGGTGTAATAAGAATCAACAGAGTTCTATGCTCCTAAATGATTCCTCGGTCCTCTTCCAGAACTCCTATAAAGCCTTTGAAATATGATAACGAGAATTATTAGTTACCTTCGTTTGCCACGAGAAAAAGCAGTAGATCTCTGGTTTAAGGCGTCAATTTGAATTCAGTTTCCATATAAAGACACAGTGAAACAAAACATCTTGCTGAGGTCAAGTTGAGCAGTGATGTGTCAGGCACTTAATAGCACCTTTTCTATCGGGGAGTTTTCGAGAATATTGCATCACACTTTTTCTCGATTGGACACGGTTCTCAAACAGTTGAGACTGAACAACATTTTTATTCAAACCCACCCGCATTATGGGCTCGCTGTTCGATTTAATGAGAGCTAAGGGTAAAATTTGCTCTCTACAGCAGTTTTGGATTCTCAATAAAAAGCTTTCTATGCTATTTCCTGTGGCCACAGCTCCTTAAGGGTCATATAATGTGGTGAGGTAATTCCACCGAAATAGATTCGACGTCATCCATCTTTGACCAATGGAGTCTTGACAAAAGGGGCATGAAATAAAATAATGGGGCA